AATAAAATTCAGTATTCTTTTTAGATCAAGACATTTTTCAAGTGGGATAATTGGGTGGGATGATACAAAACTGTTATTAGTATCCTATGAGCGGTAAGGCACCATTCTATACGGGTTAACTCTTTTGAAGAGTATCAGCTGTCTGTGAAGCAACGTTTTTTGTAAGGTTTCTTAATGAACCAGGGGTGTACTCTTGGGAATTCACGGAGGGTTGTGCCGCCCGATTCTCCAAATCCTGATCCTATTTCAGACCAAATAATGTAACTTTTCACACCTGTTTTCAGATCTGGCCTCTAGAAAATTATGTCATCACAAGAGCCATAGGGTCATCATTACTTAGAATAGAACGCCAACAAAAAAACATAACATAAAGCCTTTATTTTGACACGATAAGAGTTAAAGCTAGAAAGCTTGTGCTGTCGTGAAAAGATTTCTTAAAATTCACTTCGAATTCGCATATTTCTCTTTCATATTCATTTGGAATGAAAACGATAAATACACATACACTCCCGCAGTTTCCTCGAAAACCATATCCGACTCCAAACCAAAGTCTACACCCGTTTTCAGACCGAAACGGCACAAAACCCAACCCTTTTGGGCGGCACATACTTATATGGTCTATATAAGGGAGTCCCCCCCTCCCCCCCACTGGGGGGAATAAATGAATTCGAAGCACCTTCCATTACTTTAACCATATAAAAAAAAGTCCGGACGAAATTTCAGAAAGGTTCTGTTTTATGTCTCTCTAAGAACGAATTTCACCCTCGAGTCAGTTAGACCAAACCAATGCATTTGGTGTTGAACTGAAATTTCCTTACGGATTTTTTTACGTGTGATAGTTATGTAAGAAAGCGTGGGTTGACTAGTTGTACATTGCCATAGCATTAGCAGAAGTCACGGTTTTGCGGTGAAACAAGGAAGGAAACGTGCTGGCTCGTTCTCAGGGTCTAAAAGTTGCTGCGAACGGAACCAAAAGCAGGGAACCAGTTTGGGCAGGAAACAGTTCTGAATACAACATTTTACCACAGTAATAAAACTGTGACCCTTCACAAGACTTTAGAACGCTAAAACGTTTGAGTAAACTGCAAAACTAGAGCCTTGCAATCTAACACCTTTGTTTTTGTCGTTACACTAAGAATGTGAGCTACAGCGCGATAAGACACGCTATAACACGTCAGATTTCACTACAAAGGCACGTGATAACAGCTAAAACAAACTAAAGAATCTGGATTTTTCCTTCGCGAAGCGAGGTTTGCAAATTTTCCTAATTCATGTCGCGCGTGGATCGCTTAACGAGTAGAAACTTGTGTATAAATGTGTCGCCCTCGAATTTTGAAAGCGTTACTGCCAAAAAGGACTGCTTCTGTCAACCTGCTTTTTTCTTAGCTCAAAAATTATCTTCAAGTTTAAGAATGCATTCATGTATCCCATGATGTATCGCTTCGTACGATGGGTGCGTTTTTTGCGGAAAATCCAACCCCCCCCTCCCCTTCCGGCAAAAACCATACCCTTTTGGGCGGCACATACCTATATGGCTTATATATGAGAGTACCCCCTCCCCCGGGGAAATGAAGTGCTATAGAAAAGTTTTAAAAGTGTCATGGACTGAGCACAGAACAAACGTCAGTTAGGGAGGAACTCAAAGTGGAAGATCAATGCAATAGTTAGAGATCTTCATAAACAAAAGCTGATGTATTTTGGCCATTTAAAGAGAAGGGGGGGCTTGGAAAAGATCATCTTGGAGGGAAAAGATAGATGGGAAAAGAGAAAGAGGAAGACTGAGGAGCCAGTGGGAAAGGAAAGGCACGTACGGGATGTTTTCGACATGTCACTGACAGAAGTTGGAAGATTGCACTTGTTAGAGATTGTTTCAGCTGTGCGGTTAAAGATGTGACGTCCAATGGGAAAAGCAACTATGAGCAGTCAGAGTAGTAGTAGTACCCTGGTAGTAGTAGTACGAACAGATGTGGAAATTACAATATAAGACAGCAATAAATTAGCTTTATACCTGCACTTGGTGGTTGGGTAATCGTATTTTAGAAGCAGTCAAAAAGCATTTCTTATCGACAACCTTTGTCATTTTTTTAAAATAAAATGTCAAAAGTAAAAGGCACATGGTTAGACGTCACTTGTGTTAAATAAAAAAACTCATGCAAAATTCAGATAGGTTCTGTTTTTTTTCCTTCCTCAGAACGAATTTCATCCTCAGGTCAGTTGGACCAAAACCGATGCATTTGGTGTTGAACTGAAACTTCCTAACGGATTCTTTTATGTGTGATAGTTATGAAATTAAATGAAGCGCGGGTTGACTTGTACATTGCCATAGCACAAGCGGAAGTTATTTTGCAAAGCAATTTAAGTGTTGCGGTAAAACAAGGAGTAGTGGTAGTAGTAGACTTTATTTCGACTCGGATTGAAGAGTTGCACATAAGCGCTAATATCTTCGAGAAATAAATTTAGTGAAAATATTTGTACGTTCTAATAACAAAGTATAAAAATT